TCTAGAGTTTTCATAAAAGCTAGTTTTAGATTAAATATTGACTGTTAAACAGTCCATGTCTGCTCCAAATTGTTCTAGAATCTACAGGATGGGATACTGAAAAGGGCTACCTACAGAAGATTTCTTCATAGGGTTGGTTTTCATCAGTAATACTGACAGAACCTAATACAACTCTAATACAAATCCTCACAACACCCCTGTGAGGTAGGTATTGTTTACAGTCCCTTTACATGTGGGAAATCAGACAGAGCAAGAAATAACAATCTCAAATACACGTATATATATGTTGGTTTTAAGGGAGACTATATTTACTGAGTTCTTATACTAATAAGGACAAATACTGAAACATTCTCTATTTTTCTCAGGAAAATATCAGCATGTAAGATCTGGAAAGAAGGGAATTTAAAGCTGATCCAAGTGAAAAGATCTATTTAGTATTTGCCTCATACATCAATGATTGATAAGAACTTGGTCCACTGATGCTCTTGCACCATGCCTTCAAAATGTTAGCCCGCAGAGACCACTTGCCTCAACACCAGGGGGCAGCATTTGGCAACAAAGTACACATGACAACTTGAGGTTCAACTTGGCAACCATAACAGGAACCCTGCTGTACTAATAGAAGACTGCCTAAGGTGACAGCTCCACTTTGCAGATGTGATCAAAAGTAAAGGTTTTACCTGAAAGGTTTTTTTTTTTCTCTTTTTGAGATAGGGTTTCCCTGTAGCCCCAGCTGGCCTGGAACTTACTATATAGGCCAGGCCGGCCTCAATTTTACAGAGATCTGCCTGCCTCTGCTTCCTGAGTGCTGGGACTAAAGGTGTGTGCCAACGAGCCCGGCCCTGGAAGTGTTTTGCCTGTAAGTGCACCCATATTGTGTAATCCCCAGGAACTGCAGTTTGTTGCCATGTGGGTGCTAGGAACTGAACCTGGGTCCTCTGTAAAAGCAGCCAGTACTGGAGCCTAGAACTGGAGTTACAGACAGTTGTTAGCTGTCATATAGGTGCTGGGAAGCAAACCTTGGTCTTTTGGAAGAGCATCCAGTGCTCTTAACTACTGAGCCATCTCTCCGGCCTCTGTTTTCTTCTTTTTTGAAGTAGGGTCTTGCCAAATAGCTCCACACTAGTCTTGAACTTGAAATCCTGCCTCAGCCTAATGAGGGCCAGAGCTACAAGTGGGCAAGACCCAGCACTGTTCTTTTAGTTCTTAGTATAAAAGAAACTTTATAAGGATAAGAATCCAGTGAACCACTATTTTCTTAAAAGTGCACATAGATATATATAGTCCCTCTTATTTTGTGTATGTGGGGGGTGGCACATGTGGGGTAGGTACATATGCCTATTTGGGCATGTGTTTAGACCAGAGGTTGAGATCATCATGCCGTCCTCAATCATTCCCACCTTATTTTTTGAGGCAGAGCCTTTCACTGAACCTGAAGCTTGCTGTTTCAGCAAAGCTGGCTGGCTAACGAGCTCCTGAATCTTCCTGTTTCCACCCCGTAACACCTCACTCTTACCTTGGTGCTAGGGATCCAAACTCAGGTCCCCATGCTTGAGCAGCAAGCATTTTGCCTACAGTGCCATCTCCCCAGCCTCTAGATGTAGTTTCACTTTATTCACTTACTACTATAAAATTTTATTAATTCTTTGAGAATTTCATACATATAGTTCCACATTAAGTAGATAGTGTCTAACATGGGCATCAGCTGTAAGCAAACTCAGCACTTCTCCAGATTCAGTCCTCAGCTGCTTTACCAACACAGCTGTGCTGCAAACGCCTCTACTCCAGCCCTTTAGCTACAGAAGGACTTCTTGCATCAAGACTACTGACATGATAAGCAGGGAAGATTACAGAGAAAAGCTGAAAAGTTTTTAATGAGAATAACATTTTGCATTCAGAAGATTGGGGAGGGATGGGCATGTTGGGGCAAGCCTATAATTCCAGCAGTTGGAGGTAGAGATAGGAGGATCAGGAGCTGAAGGCCATCTTCAACTATACAGTAAATTCGAGGCCAGCCTGGGCTACATGAGTTCCTGTCTCAAAAATAGATAGACAGAGAGAGAAGGAAACTTTTAATAAGAAAGGTCTTTAGCAAATGCACAGAAATAGGAGAGCTTGGAGGAGGAAAGGCCTAAAAGGTGGTGATAGGGGAGTGGGCTGTGCCAATGGTGGCCAACATGGGCATCAGCTGTAAGCAAACTCAGCACTTCTCCAGATTCAGTCCTCAGCTGCTTTACCAACACAGCTGTGCTGCAAACGCCTCTACTCCAGCCCTTTAGCTACAGAAGGACTTCTTGCATCAAGACTACTGACATGATAAGCAGGGAAGATTACAGAGAAAAGCTGAAAAGTTTTTAATGAGAATAACATTTTGCATTCAGAAGATTGGGGAGGGATGGGCATGTTGGGGCAAGCCTATAATTCCAGCAGTTGGAGGTAGAGATAGGAGGATCAGGAGCTGAAGGCCATCTTCAACTATACAGTAAATTCGAGGCCAGCCTGGGCTACATGAGTTCCTGTCTCAAAAATAAATAAATAAATAAAAATAAAAAAATAAAAAGTAGGGAATATATCCTGAATAGCCTAAAATACAAAAAAATAAGTATTTGTGTTCTTATAAAATCATTGAAGGCAATATAACTTTGAGTAATTACTTCAATAAATTAGTAAACTTTAAGATTACATGAAAGTGTAACCCCAATTAACAACACACTTGATTAACCACTCTCAATACAACTGATCCTATCACTGGCAGATTTTGCTCTGAATGTACCTCAGTCTTGATCTCAGAGGCTTAATCTTTGTCTAGGGCAGAATTTCAACTGCTTGAAGACACTACCCAGTAGAATTTTTCACTTGGCCCTCAGAAACTTACCACTTTGAAGCTGGGCTTGGTGATATAGCCTGTAATCCCAGCACTAGGAGGCAGATAGAAGAGAATGGTGAATTTGAGGCCAGCATGGCTAAAAAGCAAGACTGTCTTAAAAACCTAAAACCAAAACAAAACTACTACTTTATAATTCACCTAAACTCACTGCTCACTCAGAGAGAACCTTTGTGTTTCAGAATTAGCTGGATCACTCTTTGAGCTTCTGACTGACTGAAGAGAGGAGGTTGAGCATGCTATGAAATGTCTTCAGAGGTACTTAATCATGGGGGAGCTCAAAGACTTTGCACATGGCTAAAATATAAGTGGCACAAACAAAATTTATTAGATGTATTCAAATATCTATAAGGCAGCACTCAGGAAGTCCTGGCAACTCAGGAAGCTGAGGCAGAAGACTGCTTGCACTCAAGAGTTTAAGGCCAGTTTGGGAAACGTAACAAGACCCTGTCTCCAAACTGGGGATGGGGGGTAGAGGGGGCCCTCAAACTTTCGTTAAATATCTGTGAGCCTTAGACTTTAATAGGGCAGCATACAAAAAAAAAGAAAAAAAGAAAAATGAGTTTAAAACACTTCAAAAACAATGTTTAATCAGCTATTTTCTGGGTATAGAAAATCTGCCATTTATCCCATCAATTTAGTTTTTTTCTGAGGTTTTAGTCACCATTATAAAAGGGAAGTTAAGTTTATTCACAAAGGAGAGCTATAATCCTGGATTTTAAACATAGTTCTAGAACACTGAATGCACCTACTTTACTAGTTTTACATAACAAAAAAGTCAGTTATGCCACTGTAAAATTACCTTTTCAAGTGATTTTTAGAAAACTACCATCAATCCAGACAGCCTAGAAAATCTTCTAACATTAAGGTAGAGAGTTGATTTATATTTTATCATTTTCCTCTTCAAAATGAGGTAAAGCTCACCACAAAAATCTGAAATTGTCCTTAAGGTCTTTAAGAAAGCACTGCAGATTAAGCTAATGGCCCTGGGGATTAGTTCACAAAGATCCATTTGTCTCTATGTGCTTCTGTGTGTATATCTGTTTCTCTCTTTAAGACTTTTATATCTCTGACTTCTCTAATCCTTTCTTTAGCTGAAATCATTCTATTAAAAATGAGGTATACACAATGTTAAGTAAATAAAAGGCCATGTAAGAGGTTGCAAAGCTAATATACAAATAGTTAATTAAAACTACTCATGATTTTGGTATAGCCATGTCTTAAAATGGACTTTTTAAATTTTTTGGTCTTTTTGAGACAGGGTCTCCCTGTAGCCCCAGCTGGTCTGGAACCCACTATGTAGACCAGGTTGGCCTTGAACTCAGAGAGATCTGCCTGCCTCTGCTGGGATTAAAGGCATATACCATCACATCCAGCTTAAAATGGACTTTTAAAAACAATATAATATGTGATTATACATTAAAATAAGTGCTAATTTCATATATGGCAGAAGATATTTTAAAATAATCTTCTGAAGAACTTAATTCACATGAAACATAAGACGAGAACAATAGTTTAGAATTTGTGTATGTGTTTGTGAATATATGTGTGCTGGGGTTAAACCTAGGACCTCACACATGCAGGCAAACTCTACAGATGAGCTTCATTCCTAGTCTCTAAAATATTGTTTAAAACAGACTTCATCTACTTCATATTCAAGCTCATTATACTGATTCTGCAACCTGGAAAAACAAGATTATTTTATCAATAACCATCGACTCTAAAGTTTCTACATCAACTTCTAATTTCTTTTTTTTAAGTATTTTATTATTTTTTAATGTGTATGCATGTATTGCCTGCATGTAGATAAGTGCACCTATGTTGTGCAATGCCCGGGGAAGACAGAAGAGGCTGTCAGATCCCCTGGAACTGGAGTTACAGATAGTTGTTAGCTGCCATGTGGGTGCTGGGATTTGAACCCGGTTCTTCTGCAAGAACATTCAGCGTTCTTAACCGCTGAGCCATCTCTCCAGACCCCAACTTCTGATTTCTAAACTGATTTAATTTATAAAAAGTTCATGGGACTAACTGAAGGTTACAATTTAATAGTCATGTCTTATAATAAGAATTAAAATATACAACCTTAAAACCATGGACAGATTATTTTACGTCAATCTTGAGGAGGAAAATAATCCAAGAAAAAAAATGGCATGTGGATTTTTTTAGGATTGGCTAACAATTCTGAAGGAGAAGCTGCTACTCAACAAGGATTGTGTCCACATTTTCTTGTGTGAGCTCTGACTCTAAGGCACAAGGCAAGTCTACATGTTCTTGTGATAAGCGAGAACTTTTCAAGGGAATGTCGGACCAGCTGTCACAATACTGCTGAAACCTTTGGGCCAATGCATTACCAAACCTCTGGCATCGGTTGTATCTGTAAGGTTTACCTTTATGTGTATACATGTGTTCCAGCAATTGACTCTTTCGAAGAAATTTATGGCCACAGATGCTACAGCTGATTTTTCTTTTCCTTGAAAAAGAAAAATTACAGTTTAATTCGACTGGCTCTGTGTCTTTGGAGATCAAAGACACTTGACTGATCTGCAAAGGCTCTGTGGTACCCCGGTTGGAGGGCTCTGGCTGCTGCTCTTCATTTTCTTTGATAATGAAGGAGCTGAGCCTCCGGCATTCAAGGGCCTCACTATTGTCATTAAGTGGATGTACTTCACCAAGGTCATTACTTTCCAGAATGGAAGCAGGTACACCAAATGGGAGAGATCCAGACACATGGGTATGGAGATGCTGTCTCAGGTTATTACGGGAATCAAAACGCTCCCCACAGTAATGGCATAAGTGAACTCTGATACTGTTTTCTGTAAAAGAGGGCCCTGTCACCTCTGATGAGGGTGAGGAGTGGCCCTGGGAGATCACTGACTCTGGATCACATCGCTCTTGCTTGATGGACACTGGGGGCTTCTGGTGCTCCTCTGAGGCTTGGGCAGCAGGATGGGCCCTCTGCTGCTCTGCAGTGCCATCATCTAGCCCAATGGCAAGTGAGAGCTGCAACTGGGGGTGGTCACCCTGGACAGCAGCTCTGTTTCCAATGTTATTGGGAGGAGTTTCTTTGACCTCTAGTCCTTGCTTGACGGCAGTTTTCTGGGTTGTTGAAATCTGGATGCCATACAAATTTGAGGACTGCACAGTCTCTGGTGAGAACACTTGATTCATTTCAGTTGCAATGTGAGAAAGGTAGTCAGCATGAAGAAATCGAATCCCTTCTTCCAAACGACTATGATCCACAATCTGTTTTGGCCCTTTTCCTGTGTACATAATGTGCAACAAATAGCTGAATATGTCGGGCTGGATGTCAGTTGGTTGTATTTTTATGCATTCACTGTAAAACCAAAAACAAATGCACACAAAATAAAACACAACCTGGTTGGCTTTTGGCTTCTAAGTCTTAGGTTAAAGCAAATTCTTCTTAAGAGGTTTAAATTCAGCAATCTACCTTGATGAAATACAATAGCAAAAGCTTGGATTTTATAATGGTTTATGGTCCATCAACAAACCTTTGTCTATTCAGTCTATTGTCTCAATGTCAGGAAACACAGACAGATATTCTGATCAGTTTAACAGAGTGATTCTTAAGCAATATGCTCACTACTAGGTGCCAGAGGACAGAAAAATGGTGGCTAAAATAGGTGCCCTGCTTTTAAGAAATTTAATAGTCTATTGAGCATATAATCAAAAGAATTGAACACAGGGACTTAGACACTTGCATGCTAGTGTTCACTGTAGTCAAAATGTGGAAAAACCCACATGCTCATAAAAAAAAAAGAATTATTCTGCCATAAAAGAATAAAGTTCTAACACTGGGAGTGGTAGCGCATGCCTTTACTACCAGCCCTCTGGAGGCAGAGGCAGGTGGATCTCTGGGAAATTGAGGCCAGCCTGGTCCACACAGACGTCTAGGAGACTCTGTCCAAAAAAAGAATAAAGTTCTGGTATGGGTTGTAACAAAGATGAACCCCTGAAAACATGCTACATTAAAAAAAGTCAGACATAAAAGGGCAAAAATTGTATGATTCCACTTCTATGAAATATCTAGACTAGGCAAATTCAAGGGTAGTAAGAGGTTAATGTGGCTGGGAGAGCATGGAGAATTACTGCTTATTGGGTATAAAGTTTCTGTTTATGATGAAGTAGTTTTAGAAACAATGGTAATTATTACATGTTCAACATTATGAATGTAATTATTCCACTGAATTATGTATGTATGTGTGTGTGTATGTATTTTTTCTTTTTCTTTTTTTGAGACAGGGTCTCCCTATAGCCCCAGATGGCCTGGAACTTGATATATAGAGCAGGCTGGCCTCGATTTCACCACCTGCCTTTGCCTCCCAAGCACTTCAATTAAAGGTGTGCACTACTATACCTGGTTGAAGTGCATAATTTAAAATTGTTACTTATAGTGAGACCCTGTCTCAGAACAAAACAAAATAAAACCATGGGGCTGGATAGATGCCTCAGCAGGTAAGAGAACATACTGCTCTTGAGAGGACCTGGGTTTGGTTCCCAGAACCCACATTAGGCAGCTCACAACTGCTATAACTCCAGTTCCAGGAAATCCAATACCCTCTTTCGGCCTCCTCGGATACCAGGCATGCATGTGGTGCACATAAACTCATGCAAGCGTACACACATACACATAAATAAAAATAAATAAGTATTTTTAAAATGATTAATTATATATTTACAACAAAATATATTTTTAAAGAGTCTAATGAAACTGTTAACATTTAAAATTTAAATAATGTTAACCTTATTTTGGCTTCTAAAACACAGTCATATATTGACTCTTTATTTTACTTTCATTACTTTATTTTTGGGACAGAGTTTCACTATGCAGCCTCCCTGGCTGTCTTGGAATTCGCCATGTAGACCAAGCTGGCCTAGAACTCATAGAAATCTGCCTGCCTCTGCCTCCCAAGTCCTGGGGTTAAAGGTGTACACCACCAAGCCTGTCTATATTGACACATTAAATCACAACTAAATACTGATATAATTTTGAGATGCATTACAGCCATCTCAAACCCAATTTTTATGTACGAATTTAGAATTTGGTTACTAAATAGAAATAACAGAGTAACCCTCAGCAATGATGCATGTCAAGGTACAGTGGAAGATGTCAATGGACTCAGTTTCTCTGAAGCAGAAGTTTATTCAATGAGTCTAGATCAGAGGGTCAGCATGCTGGCAATCAGTTTCTCTAATCCTGCTATTTGGGGATTTCTGATTCTGCTCTTAGATTTCACTTTCTGCTCTGATTTATCTATGAATTGGTATGTTGTGTGACAAGCATTTTTTCTATCAGTTCAGAGTTCTGTTAATTGAAGGTTTTTAGTTGTTCAATACAGACATAATATTGGGCAGCCTGTACCTTCCTAACTCCTATGTTTAGTTTAGCACTGTGCTTGGCTCACAACAGATACTTTAGGAGCTGAACAGCATATAGCTCAGAGGAGACTGAGGAGGAGACAGCATCTGTAATGTAGCAAAGGTATTCTCTAGTGATACGTTAGAAACAAAACTCTTCTGGCAGAAAAAGGCTGCCTATTACTGTTTGGCACTGCAATCCCCTCTCCTACTGTGCCGTACTTTCCAGTCATCTCATCTACTCTTGTGGGAGTGCTCCTATCTGGCTCATATCTGTGTTTTCATATAATTTTTGTTTCTTTTGTTTGTTTTGAGACAGGGTCTCACTATGTAGCCCAAACTGACCTCAAATTCACAGTGATCCTCCTGTCTCTGCATTCAAAGTGCTATGATGACAGGCATCAGCTACCACCCTTGATTCATGCCATTTTCCCTCTGCTTATACTATACCTCCTTATATACCTCTGTAATATCTGAAAGACTTATCTTTTAGATCTGTAAAGTCTGTTTCTCAAAATGGGCCTGCTAAAACACTCTTCTACTTTGGATATAGTAATGATATAGCTCCATTGTAAGCATTTTAATATTAGCAATTCACTTACTCTTCTCAATACCCAAGGGGTGAGTATACTATTTTAGCATTTAACAAACAAGAAAACTAAGAGTTAGGATTTGAATTTGAAATGTCCTCTGCAGGCTCATGTGCTAAAGGCTTGGTTACCAGCTGATGGGGCTTTGAGGAAGTGACTGGATCATAAGGACTCTGACTTCATCAGTGGATTAGTCTGTTCATGGATTCATGTGATGGCATTATTGGTAGGTGGTAGAAGCTAGGAGATGGGGCCAGCGATGCAAGAAGTGGGCCACTAAAAGCATGCCTGGAAGGATGTGTTCCTTATCCCTGACCTGTCTTTTCTGGTATTGCTTCCTGGCTACTATGAAATGGCCAGCTTTTCTGTCATGCCCTTCTTCCAAGAGATCTCTGCCTTACCACAGGCTTAAAAGCAATGGAGCCAGCCAACCATGGACTAAAACCTTGTGAAACAGCAAGCCAAAACAAATCTTTCTTACCTAAGCTGTTTTCTGAGGCATTTTGTCACAGCAGTGAAAGGTGACTAATACAATGAGGCACAGAGAGGTCAATTACATTGCAATTATTTGCTTTCCATTGATTATCAGACTATGGATTTCTTGAAGGTAGGTATTATTGTGACATAGTTTAGTGTCTGACATGCAAGTACTTAATAAATACTTACATGAATGAACAATTAGATAAAAAATATATAATTCAAGATTTGACTCCTAAGGACATGTAGGTTCATGTAAGGTCCTTAAAAACCAAAACAAGGGGCTGGAGAGATGGCTTAGCAGTTAAGAGCACGGACTGCTTTTGCAAAGGACCAGGGTTTAATTCCCAGCACCCACATGGTGGCTATGAACCATCCTTAACTCCAGTTCCAGGGGAATCTGAAGCCCTCTTCTGACCTCCAAGGTACTGCATGACACGGATGCACTCACATACATGCAGGCAATACATTTATTCACATAAAATAAGAAAAATAATAAATAAAATATTTTTAAAAACCAATAACAAAAAAGCACACATGAAGCCAAGTCTGGTGGCACAGGCCTGTAGTCCCAGCTATTCAGAAGGCTGAGGCAGGAGGAGCACAGCCTGGGCAACTTAGTGAGGCCCTATCTCAAAAATTAAAAAACAAAACAAAACAAAAAACATGTCATGTTCTAGAATGGACTAAATCTAAAATGGACTAAAATTTAATCTTTTCCCAGAGCACAGAATTTGAATTCACATGTTACTTAAATTCAGAAAAATATGAAAGAACCCTGAAAAAATATGTAAAACAAATGACCTTTGAATTGTTATGTAGAATATGTGAAGGGAAGAATTATGACACTGAAACACCTTTAGCTTCAGAAAGATATGCATCTGAGTCCAGCTTATCAGTTCTTAAATCCTTGATGGGAAAATAACAGGTTAGTCTGTTTCCTTTTCTCTAATACAGGGACTAACTAAATGGAATTTATATTATAGGACTTAGTGCTTAAATGTGGGCTAAGCCTTCAATAAATTTTAGCTATACTTTTTTTCATTATTATGTTTTACCATACTACTACATATTGACTTTAACTACTAGTGTGCAAAAATTATAAGTAAAAAGTTTTATTAGGGTAACCTCATAAGAAAAAACAAAAACAAAAAGAGCCGGGTGTGGTGGTGCACACCTGTAGTCCCAGCACTTGGGAGGCAGAGGCAGGCAGATCTCTGTGAGTTCAAGGCCAGCCTGGTCTACATAATTCCAGGACAGTTGGGGCTATAGGGAGACCCTGTCTCAAAAAAAAAAAAAAAAAAAAAAAAAACCTGGGGCTGGAGAGATGGTTAAGTGCACTGGCTGCTCTTGCAGAGGACCTGGGTTTGATTCCCAGCACCTACATACCTACATGGTGGCTAACAACTGTCCATAACTCCAGTACCAGTACCAGGGGGATCCAATGCTCTGTTCTTCTTTTTTTTTGGTCTTTTGGAGACAGGGTCTCCCTGTAGCCCCAGTTAGCCTGGAACTCACTATGTAGGTCAGGCTGGCCTTGAACTTAGCGATCATCCTCCAGACCTAGCCTCTGATGCCCTCTTCTTACCTCCACAGGCATTGTGAGACACACATGCACACAAAACACTCTTACACATAAAAATAATATTTAAGAGTTCCTCAAATGATATAAGACATATATCACAATATTAAACATTCTTCCCATTTATAAGAATACATCCTTACCTTGTTTGGTGAATAAATATCATCTTGAAATAGTTAGAAAAAGCAGCAAGCACTGCTCTGTGGGCTTTGAAGTAAACATCTCCAATAGCAACTGTGCAGTCACACAAAAAACCAAATTCTCGCTGCATGTTCAACTGCTGCAGGAGGACAAGGCTATGGCTAGCAGTATCCATTGTGGCTCTGAGAAAAAAAAAAGCAGCATGAACATGTTAGGGGGTCTAGTGTACATATGCTTTATACAAAATTCTAGAGTATTAAGACCTTTTTTCCTTTTTTTTTTTTTGATAGTGTTTCACTATGTAGATCTGGCTAGCTTAGAACTTACTATGTAGGCTGGCCTGGAACTCAGAGATCTGCCTGCCTCAGCCTCCCAAGTACTGGATTAAAGGCATGCACAACCTGGCACTAAGACCTAAGTTTAAATAAAAATACCTTAAATGGTGTTAACTTTACTCCATATCTAACACTAAAGCCTCCCTATTATGACAACTGACATAAACTGCTGAACAGTAAGACATGGTCCTTTTCTACCAGATAAGAAGTTAGCTTTTGCTGGGCATGGCGGTACATGCCTTTAATCCCAGAACTCGGGAGGCAGAGGCAGGCGGATGCCTGTGAGTTCAAGGCCAGCCTGGTTTACATAATGAGTTCTAGGACAGCTGGGGCTACAGGGAGACCCTGTCTCAAAAAAAAAAAAAGGTAGTTTTGTATGAGTGAGTGACAGGAAGGCTTGTCCTTTACTCTCTGTGATCATGTTTTGTGGTGTGTATGTATGTGTGTGTTGCTGGGTTTCATCAAACCCAACGCCTTATACATGTTAGGCAACTGCTCTACCAGTGAACTACATCAACACCTCCCCCACTTTCCTTGTGGTTCTGAGGATGAACCCAGGGCCTCATGTCCACAAACTAGGTAAGCATTCTACCACTGAGTGCTATACCCATCTTGTGATTATAATGTGTCTAATCTGGTTTCCTAATTGGAAAGATGGAAATGGGATACTGATCTGTGGCTCAGAGTTAAATGAGGTAATATGTGAAAATAGTGTTGCAATGGAAACTGCCATTCAAATGTTAGCTATAAATGTGAATAGCAGGGTATCCTGTCTGGATTAGAACTGTCAGTGCTCCTTATGGATCCTCTAGTCCTCAGAAGGTGCTTGCCTTCTGACTATGTTTATGGGACTTAGCAGTCACAGTAAGCTCAGGAACACTTAAAATAGATGTCAAGCCATATCCCCTGATTTACATGAGGTCCAGGAGCCCCATGAGAAAAAACCTACACCCTAATCTCATCTTAACTAGATTCAATGTGTCATACAAGCATGGTAAGAGAAGGGAGAAAGAACAAATGAGCCTCTAGGGAAAATCCTGAATGAGGAAGAATATGCAAGAGAGTTCTGGTCAAGAGGCCAACTGAGCAGCAAGAACACTTGGGAATGCTACAGTTCTAGGCAGATGGGAAGCTGCACTTCACGTCTGTCTCTTCCCTTGCTGTGCGGACAGCCCTAGTGCTTTAGGGACAAGGCAGCTGTAGTATAAAGGGCATCAGTGGGCAGCTAGCTGAGTATCCTTTGGAGAGCAGATTCTGAAAAAGAGAATGAGGTTTCCTCACTAGCCAGAAAGAACAAGGTCTAAGAAGGTCATTGGTGGAGGGTGGGGCTAGCCAGTTGGAGACTGGCAGTAGCTAAGGAGCACCCAAGTGAGCAATCACTACTACAATGAAAAGAGCTAACATTTCACAGGGTTTCCTATGTGTTAAGCACTACAACTCATTTAATTCTTAAGACTACAAGAAAGGGAACAGATGCCTTTTACAGATGAAGGTGCTGAATCAATAATTAGAGTAAATTATCCAAGGTTGCTGCTAGAAAAGGGCAAAAGCAGAGGATTCAAACCCAAGCTCCAGAGTCAAAATTTGCTTCCTCCACATCTCTGGAAAGAGAACATGGCTCACAAACTGGAGGAGCATAGAGAGACTGCACATAAAAAAAGCCCTGGGATGCCTCAGGAATATCTGCAAAGAGGAATCTGGGAGAAATCTGGTTTCCTGCTGTCAAGCAGATGTGATAGAACAAAATGAATATGTATATTTATTAGCAAATAAAGTCCAGAATACACCATAACAATAGTAGCTATTACTTATAAAAGTAGAACCTGCTTTTTTAAAATTAAAACTACATACTATACTGGTATAGCATAATCTCTAAGATTTATTATTATTATTATTATATTGCTTTGTTTTTTTGAGACAGGGTCTCCCTGTAACCCTGGCTGGCCTGGAACTCAACAGAGATCTTGCCTGTCTCTACCTCCCAAGTGCTGGGATTAAAGGTATGTGCCACTATACCCATCCTGAGATATAGTATTAACAGAAAAAGATACAGTGTAGAACTGCATAGAGAAAATTATCTCAAAAAATGGAATGGCTATTTTTAAATATGAGAGAAAAATTAAAACATATATTCCTATCTATGTTCAATTTTCAAGTAAGTTACTGAGTTTTAGCCAGTCCCTGTGCCTCCAAGCCAATAAAAATAGAAACATCCACTGCTTCCCAGTTGCAGTTCTAATTTCTAGGACTTTTTATAATTTTTTAATCAATTTATTTTTAGTCATTCATATTTTTGTATATCTGCTTATTTTTATGTGCACATGAGCGTAGGTGCCCAAGAAAGCAAAAGGCACCAAATCCCCCAGGAGCTGGAGTTACAGGTCATTGCTGGGAATTGAACTTGGATCCTACAGAAGAGCAGTATGTGCTCTTAACCACTGAACCATTGTTCCAACCCTCTATAACTGTCAATATATTGGTATAATGGTAATGTAAAAAACTTACAGGGCTGGAGAGAGGGCTCATCAGTTAAGGGTACTAGCTACTCTTGCAAAGGACCTGGGTTCGATTCCCAGCACCCACTGGTGGGTAATAACCATCTGTAACTCCAGTTCCAGGGGATCCGATGCCTTCTTCTGACCTCTGCAGGCACTGCATGACATGAGTGCACTTACATGCAGGCAATACACTCTACACATATAAAAATAATAAATATTAACACTCCCCCCCCAAATTTATAGTTTTTAATCTGTATCTCTAATCCAATAGGAACTAATCAGACATTATGAGCTGTTCTACAAAGTTTGGGTCTTCGGCTGCTGATATGGTTTAAGCAGGTAAAAGCATTTGCTGCGCAGGCCTCAGAGTTCCAAAAGTTGTCCTCTGACTCTCTCACGCTCTCTTAGTCCCTCTCTAATAAAAAAGTAAAAGTTTAGATTTTAAGATTATATTTTTTGCTGGGCATGGTGGTGCGCACCTTTGATCCCAACACTCAGGAGGCAGAGGCAGGCAGATCTCTGTGAGATCAAGGCCAGCCTGGTCTACATAGTGAGTGCTAGGCCACCTGGGGCTACAGGGAGACCCTGTCTCAAAAAGATGAACAACAAAAGAGAGATTAACTATAGTTTTTAGAAATAAATATTGGATTGGGCATGGTAGTACATACTTTTAATCCCAGTACCTAGGAAGCAGAGGCAAGTGTGTTAGGGTTTGGATCTGCAGCAGCCCCCTCCCCAACAGGGTTTCATGGTTTTGCAAGCCCTTGAGAATGTAGGAACTGAGTTAATGAGCACCCTGGTCTTTGAAGACAAGATAAGCAGACTGTTTGCACCTTTTGGTCAAAGACAGCCTGCGTCTCTTTCAATGATCTTGGAAGACAAGATAAACAGACTCTGCACCTTTTGGTCAAAGACAACCTGCTTCTCCTTTGATGATCTTGGAAGCAGAACAGGCTCCTGCACTCTGGATCTATTTCCCCCGATTAGTTTTACAATGTATAGACTCCTTACCCCATAACCCAGATCCTGGCTGATGAAGCGGACAAAAGGGGGCAGTTTTTAAGAGAAGCTGTTCTGATAAGCCCTGGGCTCCCTCTCCCCAGCCTAACTTTAAAAAAAAAAAAATCTTCCAGCTATCTGCATCCCCCAAAGACCCCCTATAAAGACCGCCAGCTCACAACCAATGGGCAGACAATTTCCCAAAGGGAATTGTCCCATGTGATTTTCCTCTGCTAATAAACTCTATCCTCCCAGGAGTTTTATCTGTGTCCTGATGCCTTCCTCCCGATTGACCTAACTCATCTATCATATGGTGCCAAAACCCGATTCTGACCTCAAGGGACCTCCGACCTTTTGGAAATTGCATGTAAAAAACCTCCGACTGGACCTGGTTGCTGTTACTGGCCTCTGAAAACACCACTGATTCAGCTTTGAGGTACCTTCGAACCCTTCCTTTCTTGCTCCCTCTCTGCCTTCTCTAACTGCCTCTCACTGGGGAGCGCACTCTGCCTTGCTTTCACTTCTTTCCTGCTCTCCTACATCTTCTTTTGATCTCCTTTCCGATTGAATTTGGTCATTCCTGGACCCAACTCAAGGCCACTGGGCAGCACTGGTCTCTGCGACAGTAGAGTGTCCGGCACAGTTACTGTGTCTGCCTGAGCCCATCTGGGGGACAGGCCTACCTCTCCCTCAAACTCAAATCTGTTACCTTGGAGTCTCTTGGTTCATGAGCTAGCTCTCCCAAAGGAACACAGGCCCCTTCCAGCCTGCTATAAAGGGTTTCCAGCTGCCTGTTGCCGGGGGTCCTAGTGAACTAAGCAGCTTATTTCCTCCGCAGGGGTTGCAGACCTCTTGTTTTGAGGTCTTATTTGGTGTTGAGCTTTGTTTCCACAGACCACAGCCTCTCTCTCCATTCTTTTCCTATTCCTCTTGCTCCCAGCATCTCATCTTCATTTTCGCTTTGCCTCTCTCTCTCTCTCTCTCTCTCTCTCTCTCTCTCTCTCTCTCCTGCCCCCACTCTTCTGGGGCTCATCTTCCTTCAGCTTCTACTGAACCTTGGGATCTCTCTCCCTCTTGCTCACGCTCTCTCTGTTTCTATTTTCAACTCGTTCCACAAGCTTCCTTCCCTTCTGGCTCTCTGCGTTTTTTTCTTTCTCCCACCCCATTCCTTGTACTTTGTCTCCATCAACTGGCTGGTCACGCCACGCTCTCGTTGCAAGGCTTCTCTGCTTGTCCCTTTTGTCTCAAAAATTGCACCGGTGCATGGTGAGTCTATCCTCTCTCTGGGTACAGGACACTGTCCCTGGAGTGAGGAACATGCAACTCCTTCCTGTCCAGGACAGGACCCTGCCTTTCCCCTCCCTGGTGATCTGATTGCAGGACGCTGCATCCAGAGACCCTACTCGGTTCCTTCTCTATCTCTTCTTCACTCTGTACATAATCTGTTGCTATGGGAATCACTCAGTCCAAGTCTCAGGGTCTCACACCTCTTGCTTGTCTTCTTAAATCCTTATAATAACTGGGACTTTCAGATACAATCAGGCCAAAGCTCCTGAAGCTCCTGTGCATCACTGCCTGGCCTCAGTGCAAGTTAGATAATGAGTCTGTTTGGCCAGACACTGGAACCCTAGACTTCAATATTTTGAGAGAGTTAGATAATTTCTGCCATCATAACAGCAAATGGTCTGAGCTCCCATATGTCCAAGCTTTCTTTGATCATCGTGCTAATCCCTCCCTCTGTGTCGCATGTTCTTCCCATCAGGTTTTCCTCCTTAAGACAGTTTCACGGGATCCCAACCTGCCAGGGGTCTCTGCCCCGCCCCTACCCCTCCACCTTGGCCTTTGTTCCTAACATAGCTGATGAACTCCCTCCAATTAGGACCCAGCTTCCACCTCCTCCTCTTCCTCCCAGAGCCCAACCCGGCCTCCCTCCCTTCTCCACCTCAGACTCCCTCTCCACAATCTTCCCTCTCCCCTCTCCAATGCACTAAGTCCTTCACTCCCTCTCCCTCCACTAATCCTACTCTACTTGAGAAAATCCACAACTTTAAACAACTTCTTAACAAACATTCCCTACTCTTCCCCTATTCCGGCTTCTAGCTCAAATAACCCATTTATCTCTCCTATATCTACTACCCCTACCCCCGTTCCAGACCCTTGTCTCCAATACCGAGTCCCCTCATGGACAGGACACCCCTCCCACCTCTCACACTTTGGCTTCCTCCCAGGACACCCTTTCTCCTTCTCCTCTATCCCCTCCTAATCCCTCTTCTTTGTCAAGCCATACTCGCTCCTGCACCCAATCTCATTCTTCTACCCATGGTATCTTTCTCCTCTGGGAGGTGGCAGGTGTGGATGGAGTGGTCAAGGTCCATGTCCCTTTCTCTCTTGGAGAGCTCAGCTCGAACGTAGAATAGGCTTTTTCCACTAATCCTACACACTTCATACAAGAATTCAAATACATCACTCGCAGCTATGATCTAACCTGGCCAGATCTCTTTATGATTCACCAGTCCACCCTCACCCCTGATGAGAGACATAGGGTCTGGACAGCAGCACAGGAGTATGTTAGTAAGCTTCATTCCACTAACCAAGCTCACCCTATTGGTACTGAGGCTGTTCCCCTTCAAGACCTTGGGTAGAATTACCAACTCCCACTGGGGAAGGCAGGACCTTCTCCAGGTAGAGCAGCTAGGGACCACATGATCACTTGCCTCATAACAAGTCTTCAGAGAGCTTTACCCCCTAAGGTAGTTAACTTTAAAAAGCTTAGGTTGATTACTCAGGGCTCTACTGAAACCCCAGCTCAGTTTATGGACAGACTTACTGATACCTTGGTTCAGTATACCAAGTATGACCCAGAGTCCAGAGAGGGATGGCTTATGCTCTACCACCACTTCATCTTACAATCAGCTCCAGATATCAGGAGGAAACTTAGATGCTTAGACAAGGGCCCTGAAAACCCCATGGGAGATCTGTTAGACATGGCATCTAAAGTCTTTAATAACTGGGAGGAACAGAAGAAGGCAGACAAGTTCACCCTGTCCAAAAAAAAGTACCAGCTGATGGCTGCAGTCCTAAGGGATCCCTCCTAGAAAACTACAGACACCAACGGGGCCCAACAACATCCACCAGGACCCTGCTTCAAGTGTGGAGCCACTGGACACTGGGTAAGGCAATGCCCCAATCTATGACCACCTCCTGGTCCCTGTCCTCAGTGTGGGCAATGAGATCACTGGACAGTTGATTGTCCGTCTTTGCAGCACCAAGGTAGGCCACTTACCTCCCAGACTCAGCCTGCTTTACAGGGTTCAGTGAATGACCTTCTGGGCCTGACAGCTGAAGACTGACAAGGCCCTGGCTCCCTGGCCCTCACCAATTCCATAACCATCACTATGGAGGAGCCCAGGATACCAGCCATGGTGGTAGGTTAAGACAATTTTGTTCTTGACACTGGTGTGTCATGATTTGTTCTCTCTTCTTACTCTGGTAAAGTTTTTCCCTCACAGATCTCCATGGTGGGGGTTGATGGGAAGCTCCATAACCCCAAATCGACAGGACCCTTATCCTATGTATTCTGGAAGGTGCCTTTAACTCATTCTTTCCTGGTCATGCCCACCTGTCCAACTCCCTTATTTGGCAGAGATCTCATGCAAAAGCTCTCCTTGTCTAATTCCCTCCCTTTCTCCACTCTTCCTCCTTTCCCCTGTAACACCCCCCCCTCCAGCAAGGTCATGGCCACTTCCCCCTTCTGAGGTAAATCCCAAGGTCTGGGACACCTCAGCCCTGGGACTGGCCTCTTATCACACTCCTATCTGCATTTCCTTGAAGGATCCCTCCCTATTTCCCAGTAGGCCCCAATACCCAATTGCACTCAAACACTGCTATGGACTTAAGCCCATAATTCAAAGACTTATGAGAGCTACCCTCCTTAAACCCTCTCATTCACCCTATAACACTCCCATTCTTCCAGTCCTCAAGCCTGATGGCTCTTACCATTTGGTCTAAGATCTCCATCTCATTAATTGAGCAGTTGTTACCATTTATCCTGTCATCCCCAACCCCTAGACTCTCCTTTCTCATATCCCCTCCTCTACCACCCAATTTACTGTCTTGGACCTTAAAGATGCTTTCTTCTCAATACCCTTACATCCTGACATCACAACCTCTTTGCATTCACCTGGGAGGACCCTGACACTGGGATGGCTTCCCAACTAACCTGGACTGTCCTGCCCCAGGGGTTTCAAGATAGCCCTCATCTCTTTTGACAAGCCCTAGGCCAGGATCTAACTTTAACCCTTCTACCATCCTACAATATGTAGATAACCTACTTCTTTACTCTCCATCTCTCTCAGTCTCCAAGGCTCACACAATCAAACTCCTTAATTTTCTGGGGGACATAGGGGATATAGGATATCTCCAGCTAAGGTGCAGCTTTCTCTCCTCAAGTCAAGTACCTGGGGTTCCTTCTCATACCTACATCCTGCCGTTTAACTGTAGACAGGATAAATTACCTAAGGTCTTTAAAGCCCCCCACAACCAAGAAGGAAATTCTGTCTTTCCTAGGCATTGCAGGGTACCTACACACATGGATTTCCTAACTTTGCCCTCCTGGCAAAGCTGTTCTATGAAGCCTCCAGAGGGAACTCCCCTGAGCCTGTTGAGCCCCTAGGGCCTGTAACAACAGCCTTCCACACTATCCGGGAAGGGCTCTTAAAGGCACTGGCTCTAGCTCTCCCCGACCTGGGATCTCCATCCCCCCTCGATACAACTGAGAACAAGGGCTAAGCATCAGGGGTTTTGCAACAGATAAGGGGTCTCACTTTTGCCCCAGTAGCTTATCTCTTTAAACAGCTCAATACCACCATCCGGGGATGGCAAACCTTGTCTCTGTGCTCTGGCCACCGCTACCCTCCTGGCTCAGGAGGGACTTAAGCTCACTTTGAGTCTCTTACCAATCTAGCCCCCTCTAAACTACAATTCTTTCATGTCATGTTTCTTGAAAATCCCTTGCTTGCCCTTGACTCCTGCCCTCCTCTCAATCCAGCTTCCCTCCTCCCTTTCAGCAAACTGCTCACTCACTCACTCGCTCACTCACTCATGCTTGGAAACTCTTCAGGCACTCTCCTACTGGGATCCCCTAATCTCCTCAGATCCCCTACCAAACCCAACCCTGACTTGGTTTGTGGATGGAAGTTCAAGTCTCACTCCAACGGGGTCCCGTAGGGTGGGATATGCCATAGTGTCTTTCACAGATGTCATCGAGTCGGACCCCTGCCACTTGGAACCATGTCACAAAAAGCCAAACTTGTGGCACTCACCAGGGCCCTGATTTTAGCCAAGGGACAGACGATTAATATTTTTACAGATTCTAAGTATGCCTCCTGCAGCTTCTCCTGGGATTGCATTCTCACTCTAGAGCTAAATCTCCTGAGGAATTTCTCTAGTACTAATGTGTCCACTTGCTTCCTCTGTGCCCCCCTACAGGGCTCACTTCTCATCCCCCTCCCAGTTTACAATGTTACCTCCCAGGCTAATACTCAGTGTTCCCAGGAACCCCTCCTACAATGACCCCAGCTTGCCCCTCCCCATTTTCTTAACAAAATGGAGTGTTGGACTCCACAAACCTCCAAATGCCAACAATCATCAAGCTGCAATGTCACAAATTAAGGTAAATACTGCTCTAAACTCGGGACTACTCCTTCTCTGTTCCTCTAAAATACACTCCTGCGTCTCTCCACAGATTGAAGACACCTTCTCTCCAGTCATTCTTATACTCAAATTAACCCTATACACACTGGGAGAGGTGTATGTCTTATCCACAGGGAAAGAAGGGACCAGAACAAGGAGGTCACTGGCAGTCCTAGTACAAATTAGCCTGGTGACATCAGTAGCAGCTACTGGACTCGCGGCCGGAGGTTTGGGACACTTGCTGATCTCAACCCAGCATCTCTCCTAGGAAACAGAGGACCTCAGACGGGAACTCGCCTCAACAGTGGAAACTACAGCCCAGTCAACCCAGATCTTACAACAGCAACTATCCTCCATAGCCGAAGTTGCCCTCCAGAACAGGTGAGCCCTGGACTTATTAACTGCAGAAAAAGGGGGAACCTGTATTTTCTCGGGTGAAGAAAGCTGCTATTTTGTCAACCAACTGGGTAAGGTTGAGCATGATATAAAACGCCTCCAGCAGGTAGCCAAGGATCTTTCACTTAAGAATTCCCAGTACCAGCAGTCACTTCAATGGGATATTTTTACAGGATTAACTTCTTGGCTTCTGCCCTTACTCGGCACCCTGTCTTCTGTTACCTTGGTGCTAACCATTGCTCCTTGCCTCTTCTGATAGTTCAGGACCAAATCCAAAAACTAACTCATACTAATTTTAGTCAGTTGTTAACTTTCCTTCCCTCCACATGTATATGAGCACCTGTCAACCACTCAGGACACCATTCAGATGCATGAGGAAGGAACCCCCGCTGTCTGACCAACCCCTAAATCCAGCCCTGACGTTGACCTTGTCCAGCAGGAAGTAGCAAAATGACAGCAGCGCCCCCTATCCTATAACACAAAAGGCTGGAATGTTAGAGTTCAGATCTGCAGCAGCCCCCTCCCCAACAGGGTCTCATGGTTTTGCAAGCCCCTGAGAATGCAGGAACTGAGTTAATGAGCACCCTGGTCTTTGAAGACAAGAAGACTCTCTGCACCTTTTGGTCAAAGACAGCCTCCTCGTCCTTTGATGATCTTGGAAGCGGAACAGGCACTCTGGATTTATTTCCCCCTGATAAGTTTTACAATGTATAGGCTCCTTACCCCATAACCCAGATCCTAGCTGATGGAAGGGGGTGGTTTTTAACAGAAACTGTTCTGATAAGCCCTGGGCTCCCTCTTTTCCGCTTTAAAAAAAAAAAAAAAAAACACAAAAAACAAAAAAAAAACTTCCTGCCTTTTGCATCCCCCAAAGACCCTCTATAAAGACTGCCAACCTATGGGCTGACAATTTCCCTATTCCAAAGGGAATTGTCCCATGTGATTTTCCTCTGCTAATAAACTCTATTCCACTGGAGTTTTATCTGTGTCCTGGTGCTTTCTCCCAATTGACCCAATTCATCTATCAAAGGCTATCTGTGAGTTCAAGGCCAGCTTGGTCTACACAAGTTCCAGGCCAGCCAGGGAGGAAAAAAAAACCCCAAAACTATATATATATATATATATATATATATAAAATATATTATATATGTGTCTTAACAGTGTAGCTGTACTTGCCTAGAATGTGAAATCACTGCAAAAAGAACACACAAAAACCTCACCCCCAAAAGATCTCCCAGACACAGACCTGAAGAGTTATTTGTATAGATAACAATTTAAATATTTATCATATTAGAAATCAAAAATGAGAAAATTAAAAATGTTTATTTTAAAAAAGCAGTAAGGCCAGCAACATGGCTCCACATGTAAGGGCATTTGCTGCCACACTTGAGGACCTGAGTTTGAAGTCTGGTGGGTGTGGCAGCTCGCCTGTAATCCCAGCAAGCAGGAAGCAGAGGCAAGGAATCCATGAGTAAACTTATTAGCCAGACTAACTGAAAACATGGTGAGCTCCAGGTTCAGGGAGAGACCCTAGTTCAATATATAGGGCAGATATATAAGGTGGAGAGCAATGAGGAAGACACCAGGTCATCCTTGGGCTTCTACATGCATGTACACATGTGCACAAGCATCTCACACATGCAAACACACATACCACACACAAAAGCACACACATGTAAATGAGGGCATACCTCAGTGGCAGACTAGCATGCGAAAAGCCCTGGGTTGAGTTTCTTAGACACCACCTGCCAAATTATAAATATATACATGTACACAACAGGTTCAGACTTATCTGGATAACAAAGACCTTTAATGTTTTTAAAGGCATAATTTAAAAACTCTAGCCAACAGCAACAATCAACTGCAAAGTTACTAAAATATTTTCTAATACAGGGGCTGAAGAGATGGCTCAACAGTTGGGAGCATTGGTTGTTCTTGCAGAGGACCTGGGCTCGATTCCCAACTAACAAGTGTCTGTAATTCCAGTTCCAGGGGATCCGATGCCTTTTTCTGACTTCGTGGGTATTGCACAACATGGATGCACTTAAATACATGCAGGCCATACACTCATACACATAAAATAAAAATAATACAATATTAAAAAAATAAAGTATTTTCTAATAGAGTCTACCCAACCCCTGAGGACACCTGCAGTCACACAGTGCACATAAACTCACACACACACGTAAAAATAAATAAATCTTAAAAACAAAAGGAAGTTTTAGTGAAGATGGACACAGTGGTACACATTTGAATCCCAGCATGTGGGAGACTGAGGCAGGATTGCTGCAAATTCAAGACCAGCCTGGGCTACAGAGTGACCTCAAAGTTGGTCTGGGTCTAGCTCAAAAAATAAATGTTAAAAGATTTATTTTTAATTATGAGTGTGTGTGATGTAATGCAGGTGCTTGAAGAGGCTAGAAATGGGCAATGGATCCCTTGGAGCTGGAATTACAGGCAGTTGTGAGTGGCCTGATATGGGTGCTGGGAACTGAACTTGGGTCCTCTACAAAAGTAGTATGTGCTTTTAAACTATGTGCCATCTCTTCAGGTTCCAAAATAAAACATTTTTTAGTGGAAATTTTAAGATGTATGAACAGTTACATAAAAGAGTTTACTTTTATTTTTTATTGTGAACAACAAAGAATGGCTCACTTTAAAAACTTTGTCAGGGCTGGAGAGATGGCTCAGCAGTTAAGAGCACTGGCTACTCTTACAGAGGACCCAGGTTTGAATCCCAGCACCCATGTGGCAGCTAACACATAAGTCTATAACTCCAGTTCCAGGGGGATCTGATGCCCTCTTCTGACCTCTATGGGCATTGCACGACACAGGTGCACTTGCATACATGCAGACAATACACTCATACACATAAAATAAACAAAATATATATAAAAAAAGCTTTGTCAGCAGCCAGGCGTGGTGGCTTACACCTTTAATCTTGTACTTGAGGCAAAGACAGGAGGTTCTCTTGAGTTCCAGGCCAGCTATGGCTACAAGGAGACCCTGTCTCAAGAAGATTAAAAAAATATTGTCAGAAAAGTATTTTTAATATTTTTATTGTGAATTTTATAAATGCATACAATGTATGTTTTTTATATTTACTCCCCACTCCTCTTCCTGACTCTTTCCAGATCTAAGCCCCACCCCTTCACCTCCAAAATAATTATAATAGGATTAGTAGTGATAGTTGAGACTACAAAAACCTTATTTACTTTCTAGGTTGCAGCAAATTACTTCCAGACTAGTTCAAACTAAGTTAAGATGACAAGTTCATAATGGTTTGTTCATGATTCAGTTAGCATGACATTCAACAGCTTTGAAGGTTTAGAAACATCTACCATATTAGCTGGGCTGCACTCACAGACCAGCAGTAGCCAGAATACTGTCTTGGAGCCAGATCCTCATTCTCTCAGGCTGCAAGTATCTTTAACAGACATGACCAGTTGTTAAATTACAGCAAAGCTGGCAAAGATTGTCATAGCTTTTGTGAGCTACTTACTGCTAATAAAAGTTTTTTTTTTTTTTTTGGTGTTTTTGAGACACGGTCTCGCTGTAGCCCCAGCTGTCCTGGAACTCACTATGTAGACCAGGCTGGCCTTACACTCACAGAGATCTGTCTGCCTCTGCCTCCCGAGTGCTGGGGTTAAAGGCGTGTGCCACCATGCCCAGCTAAAAGTTTTAAAAAATTCCTAGTGTTGTATGTTCATTAGGCCAGGTGTGGTGGCGCATGCCTTTAATCCCAGCACTCGGAGGCAGAGACAGGCGGATCTCTGTGACTTCAAGGCCAGCCTAGTCTACATAGTGAGTTCCAGGACAGATGGGGCTACAGGGAGACCCTGTCTCAAAAACACCAAAAACAAAAAAAATTCCTAGTGCTACATGATAAAAAGGCTTTCTACAATTTCAACTTGTTAATATCACATTTAGATGACTATGGATGTGACATTTGATCATTTAAGAAAAGAATTTACACATACATATTTTAAATTTTATTTATTAATGTGTATGGATGTATTGCCTACATGTATTTAAGTGCACCTATGTCCTGAAATACCCACGAAGGTCAGTAGAAAACATCAGATCCCCTGAACTGGAGTTATGGACATTTGTTAGCTGCATGTGGGTGCCAGGAATCAAACCCAGACCCTCTGCAAGAGCAGTCAGTGCTCTTAACCACTGAGTCATCTCTCCAGTGTCACATACACACACACACACGTTATAAACTTTTGACTTTTTAAAATGCATATTATGCCTGCATGTATGTAAGTGCACCCCTCTTCCCCAGGCCAGAGAGGGCATAGGATCTCCTGGAGATGGCTATCCACCACTGTGTATCAGTACTGGGAAGTAATACTGGGTCCTCTACAAGAGCAACCAGCTCTTAACTACGGAGTCATCTTTCTAGCCCTTAATTTTTTTAAAATTATTTTTATTTTATGTGTATGAGTGTATTGCCTGCATGTATGTGGGCACACCCATGTCGTGCAATGCCGTGGAGGTCAGAAGAGGGCTTCAGATTCCCCGGAACTGGAGTTAAGGATGGCTCATAGTCACCATGTGGGTGCTGGGAATCAAACCCAGGTCCTCTGCAAGATCAGTCAGTGCTCTTAAGCTCTGAGCCATCTCCCCAGCCCCTAGCCCTTTATTTTTGAGACAAGGTCTCACAGTACAGCCTAGGCTGATCTTGAACTTGTCATGATTCTCAGGTTTTTTTGGGTGGAATGGGTGGGGAGAGTGCCTAGGGGACAGGGTCTTGCTATATAGCTGAGCCTAGCCTTGAACTCTACATGTTCTTGCTACAGCCTCCTCAGTGTTGGAAATACCATCATACCATACTTATACCATCATTCCCAGCAAGAATGAATGAATGTTTACAGAAATAATTTTATCCTGGAACAGTGGATCCTATTACTGACTACACTGTACAATCTACACAGAGCTGTATGGATGCTAACCCCTGACTAACCCAAAAAGAAATGCTGAGGTCTGAGTCCTTTTTAAAAACTTTATTTATGGACTGGTGAGATGGCTCAGTGGGTAGAGGCATTTACACACAGATCTGACAATTTGTGAGCTGAGTTTAATCTTTGTATCCCCACATGGTGGCAGGAGAAAACTGACTCCCAAGTTGCCTTCTGATCACACACACACACACACACACACACACAAATAAAACTTCATTTATTTTTTAAATATGTTGTTTTTATTTTACGTGTATGAGTGTATTGCCTGCATGATGTGAGTACACCTGTGTTGTGCAATGCCACAGAGGTCAGAAGAGGGCTTCGGATTCCCCTGAACTGGAGTTAAGGATGGTTCATAGCCGCCATGTGGGTGCTGAGAATCGAACCCGGGTCCTCTGCAAGAGCAGTCAGTGCTCTTAACCGTTGAGCCATTCTCTCCAGCCCCAAATTTCATTTATTTTTTAAATTGTGAGAGTACAAGCAAGCACATGCCACATGCAAGTAGAAGTAAGAGGACAACTTTGTGGAGTCGCTTCTCTCCTACTGTGATTTCTGAGGATTGAACTCAGGTTGTCAGGATTGCAAGCCAACTGCTTTTACCTGCTGAGCCATCTCACAGGCCTGCAGAATCAAGGAAATCCAAAGAGCATTTCACATTCTAATATTGCATTGATATTTAAGACACTATAAAAATCTTATTTACTTTCTAGATTGTAATAACTCTGGATTAGTTCAAACTATGTAAATGGAACAGTTTTATACTCATTTATGATTTTAGGGACTAGAGAGATGGCTCAGCATTAAAAGCACTTGTTGCTCCTGGGTTTGGTTCCTAAGACCGATATGGTCACAAACATCCCTAAGTCTAGTTCCAGGGGATCTGACACCCTCTTTTGACCTCTGTGGGCACTGCATGCACACAGTACACGTACATGCAGGTAAAACATTCATATGCATAAACATTTTTTAAATATGTAAAAAAATATTTAAAAATAAATGATTTCATAAGTGTTTAAAAAATTACATTGATTACATCAGATAAACATCAACAATTATAATCCTAAATGTAACTTTAAGTTAAAAATTTGAGCACTTTAAGGAATACAAGTAGCCAGATGTGGTGGTGCACACCTCTAATTCCATACTTGGAAGTTTGAGGCCAGCCTTGGCTTGGTAAATTCTGACTTGTGAGGCAGAGGCAGATGGATCTCCATAGTGAGTACCAGGCCAGCTGAGGCTACTGGGAGACCCTGTCTCAAAAATACCAAAAAAAAAAATTTTAAAAAAGCAAGCAAGCAAGCAAGCAAGCAGATTGGGGAACTAACTGGCTCAGTCAGTGAAGTGCTTCCAATCAAGCATGAGGACCTAGGTTCAGATCCCTAGCAACCAAGTGAAAAATATATGTGGCAATATGGAATCCCAGTGCCGGGGAGGCAGAGACAGGCCAGCCAGCCTAAGTGAATCAGTGAGCTCCAGGTTCAGTGAGACCCTGTTTCAGTGAGGAGTGACTGTGGAAGACATCCAACATCACTCTCTCACTTCCACATGCACATGTGTGCACACCACATACAGAGAGAGAGAGAGAGAGAGAGAGAGAGAGAGAGAGAGAGAGAGAGAGAGAGGGAGAGGGAGGGAGAGAGAGGAGAAATGGAAGTGCTAATGGGGAGGTTAGAGGTGAGAAAGGGAGGAACACACCATTTTCAGGCTTTTTGTTAAAAATGTATCTAGGAAGAAGCATTTATTCTCATACTCCTTTATATTTATTTCCATAATTCTAAAACTGATATCGATATCCCAAATATGAAAATACAGTCCCAGGTAAAATGTGCCATAAATCCTAGACATGTTCTTACGGAAATATACAGTGAAGGCTGGAGGCATACATGTGGTAGATGACACAGGAAGAGCAGTTACGCTCTAGAAACCTTAACCGGAAGAGGAAAAGCGTTGGTTTGGGGCCTCCTGTTTGTTGGCAGACAGGCAGTCTCCTCCATCTTTAAACCAACTGTGGGACATGTGAAAAAGCACCAAGCCAACAGGAATACTAATTCACAGTATAAATCACATGTAGACCTCAAAAATAATCATCACCATGGGAAGAAAAGGACACAATTCTTCTTGATTTATTATAAAGAACAAAAACTCCATTTTGAACAGAAAAAAAAAGGTACTCAAAGGACAGGCAAAGCTATCAGACGGCAATGCTGGTACACAGCGAGAACACAGTAGTGAGTGAATTGACACAGCCTCTGCCAGATGACTCCAGTTCCAGAACACATTACCCAAACAGGCTAATAAAACCCTTTACCTAAAAAGCCCAGTTTTAGAAGGCATAAAACATCCTGTATGACTGATTTGTAACTAGGGAAGCAATGAATTAGAAAAACTTCAGAAAGTAACAATACACAAACAAGCATAACAAATGTTGGGAACACAGCTCAGTGGTAGTGGTCTGGCTTAGCATTTACAAGGGCCCAGGTTTGATCCCCAGAACACTCCCAAGCATCAATAAAATAATAACCCCAACTCATGTTTGCTTTGAATACTTCCTTCTTCCTCTACTGTTTTAGAACCAGCCTCAAGTAGCAGTCTTTCCTCTTATCTGGAATAGCTACCTTCAGTAGCTTTTATTTCACTGAGTTAATACTACATGCAAAACCTTGTTCTAGGTGCTCTCTGAATACATTATCTTTAAAACGTTTTTAAAACTTATGTGTATGAGTGTTCTGTGAGCATGTACCTAAGTACAACCGTGCATATAATGCTCACAAATGCCAGGAGAGGGCATCAGGTTCCCTGGAGCTGGAGTTACTATTACTGGATGGATGTTAGTTGCCATATGGGTTCTGGCAACCGAACCCAGCTCCTCTGCAAGGGTAGCCAGTGATCTTAACTACTGAGCCGAGTCTCCCCAGCTCCTTTTTGAGATAGGGTCTCCAGGTAGCCCCAGCTGGCTTGCAACTCATTATGTAGGCCAGGCTGGCCTCAATTTCACAGAGATCTGCCTGCCTCTGCCTCTCAAGTGCTGGAATTAAAGGTCTGAGCTGCTGTGTCCAGCATATATTATCTAATTCTGGCTGTAACTGATGCATTATTTGCCTTTATTATTATTAGTTTATTGGAGACAGGGTCTCTGTAGCCCAAGCTGACCTCAAATTCAGTCCTCCTGCATCAGCTTCCCAAGTGTTGAGATTACATACCCAGCCTAATGTATTTACTTTCATTTTCCACATGAGGAAAAACTTTGATGAAGGACACAAAACTAGTGAATGGTATAAAGTGGAAATCAAAGGGTCTGACTCCATAGCTGTGCTGGCAGCTATAAACTGGAGCAGTATTTTTTTTCAGCCTTCTCTTAAAAGACTTTAGTTCACATGCTCTGTGGAATAAATACGCAGAAAAGGAGCACAGGAAGTGGTGTACAACTACTTTCCAATTATCGAGATAAGCCGCTTTTCGGGGGAGGGGTGGAATCTACAATAATATAGCCCTCCCAACTCTTTTCTAGTTGCCAATACCAAAATGGACAAGTTGGTCAAACACCACCTACAGCTCACAAGGAATAAATCACTTTGGTTCAGTGGTAGGGAGGGCATTATGCAACACTTCCCAGCAGCACTGCCATGGTCAGGATATTTTACTGCCAAGGCACTTGGGCCCCTCCTCCCTAGCTAGACAGCCTGGCTCCTTTGCATTCCCCTCAGGAGATAGGGTGGAAGTACATAGCTCCACTCTGCTAGGCATAGAGGGCAGCTGAAAGTCCTGCTTGGCCTCTCTGGGCAACCACAGGCGCCAATAAATCAGCCACAGGCGATTCTCTCTTCCCTTCCCGGCTTGAAGTGGGAGCAAGATATAATACAAAAGCACAGCGACTAGACTTGGAAGATAAGTGATCTAGGCTTAACTTTCCCTGAAAGTGACTACATCAGTCAGGTAAATCTCTTTGAACCTGTTTCTTCAGACTTATAACTGTAACATGGAGACAGTACCACTTTCTTTTGGGTAAGAATTCAAAATTCACCCATGAAAAAAGCTGGTACAAAGGCTGGCCCATAGAACTTAAACAGCAGCCAAAACTGAGCACAAACCATCTCCACTATATACAAAAAGTTATTTAGAATAGTACTGGGTACAAATGTCTAGCAGGTCATGTGGGCCCTCTTCTGTTTTCTTGCTGACCACCCCTTGATGCGAATTCCTAATTGCATCCCAGCCATCAGAGCTAACTTATTTCAAGTCTATGCCACTGTTTGGTAATCGAGTCATTGTTTACCCTTCACTAAAACATTTAGATTGCTAAAAGACATGGCTTAACCTAAAGAAACAAGCAGCCAGACATGCTGGCATACACCTGTGACCCCTGTACTCAGAAGCCTGAGGTAAGAGGATCACTGGTTTTAGGCTAGCCTGGGCTCTCCAGCAAGGCCCTATATTGAGAGCAGCCTGAACTACATAGCAAGACTCTTAAGTCTCAAAAACAAAAGGAACAAGTGCCAAAGCTTATCCGCAGAGTATAGTGCTAAACTCGATTATGTGTGTGTGTGTTGGGAGGGGGAATGAGTTTGTGGCTCAAATACACTATACGCAGACATACCTAGAAACAGTGCCATCCCCACTATTCCATAGCCCTCACATCACTGGCCAAGCCCGACTTCTCCATCAATCCGAGAAATCCTGCAAGCTAAGTATAATAATGTCTGGTGGATGCATTCTCTAGAGCGGAATAAACTGGTACTGCAGTCCTGGCACTGTGTATGGAGTGTGACGACACAAGTGTCTGCAACCCTAAAGTCCAGCCTATGGAAAGGTGTAGAACCTTAATCAAGGCCAGGCTTCTGTAAAATGAGAGGGATTAACTGTATTTTATGTAAGATCCCTTTCAGCTCCAAAATTCGAGATTTCAAGATGTACTTTAATCCGGTGAAATCAACAGCTCTGTGTAGAGGAAGAGCGTCGGGTTTAATCCCTTAGGGGGAATACAGGCGTTAATTTATAAAACATAATACTAGCTGCTATCAGGTTCCAGGTACAGCAGTATACGTTGCCTAAGCAACTGATAACGGCTAGACTTCAAATAGTGCTAGGGAGGCGGTGATAACGTGGGGGCCGGTTTCAAAACAGAAACGATTTGGTTAAGATAAAATACTTGGGAAAAATGAATTATTGGGGTTGGGTACTCCCTGTCATAGAAACTGGGCACTCGGAAACTGCAGCGTGGGGGGGGGTAGTGGACACTCGCCCTTGCAGGAGGCACAGGCCCGGTCGCCCGGGGAACGTTGCACATCCGCTGCAACCCCCAACACTGGGTGGAGGTCGGGCCCGCAGCTGGACGCGCTCCAAGGCCAGGCGGGACCCGCGCGCGCCGTCCCCGCCCGCGTTAGGCCCTGGCGAACCACGAGCATCGCGCGCCAAGTGCTAGCTCGCCGTTGCCATGTTCCTCCTGGGCCCAGACTGACATCTCCAACGGACCAAAAACACCCGTCTCCCCAGCTACTTGCATCTGTCCCGCGAACGGTGCAGCTGCAGCCACCGCCCGGGCGGCTCCCGGCGGGAGGGACTGAGGCGGGGAGCAGCCCACGGGGGCAGGGCCGCATCGCTTACCCAGACTCCGCCGCGGCGGCGGACGGGCGGGTTCCCGTGCAGCGCACAGCACGCGGCGGCGCCGACTCACGCACCCAGCGGGCAGCTCTCGCGCGGCTTCCCGCGCCGGGCCCACGTGACCATGCGCCTGGTAGCCGGGGAACCAGGCGCGCCGGGGCTGTGTGTGTGCGTGCGTGCGTGCGTGCGTGCGTACGTGTGTGCCCTCCCGCCCGAGTGGCCCGGCGGGGGTCGGCCTGCGCTGAGGGCGCCGCTGCTTAGGTTCTGTGTCGTGACTGGAGGCGGAAGTGTGGGGACAAGCCTGAGCGTCACAGGCTCCCCACACGCCCCCGCGTGACCCGGGGACTTTCCCCGGGGTGTGCAAAAGCACGGGCGCCCCCTTCCCGGGTGGGGGAGGGAGAGGTTGCACCCGCGTGTCGGGCAGGAGCGGTGTGATGGCGCGGGGCAGGCCACGCCGCGCGGCGGGAGTCCGGGCGGGGAGGAGCATAGTGGGGGAAGTGACTCAGGGCCAGAGGCGGACATGCCCACGGGAGGCAGGGTGGGGGAGCGCGGGGCATGGGCGACCCCGCGGGCGGGACGGGGTCGGGGTGCCAGCGTCCCCAAAGCGCCCGAGCCGGAGCGCGAGGGTGGGCCCAGCTGCGGGGCCCTGCGCCGACGGGGTCTGGTATCTGGGCTGAGCTGGAGCGCGACGTCCACCCCCCGGGGAGGCGGGAGGAGCCGGGTGGCATCCAGCTGTGCAAACAGGAGGAGGTCCCAAACCTACCCAGGGGAGAGGGGCGAGAGGGCCGCCCGAGTGCCCGCGGTGCGGGCAGTGCCAGCCTCCTCGGGGCCGGACGCAGAAACTTGTTGCAGCCAACAGGCGAGCGCGGGTGCCCCTAGCCGCCAGCGGCGGAGTGGGTGGGCGGGCGAGAGGGAGGGGAAGGCTGGCGGACGCCGCAGCGAACTGGTGGGCAGACCCGGAGTCGCCGCGTAAGCGGGGCCGGCTCAGTGCGGTGCGGCAGGCGCGGCTGTGCGGCAGCGGAAGTCCTTTGTTGCAGCGCAGTCCCTGGCAGAGCCCGAGTGTCTCGGCGCAGCCCAGCCGGAGCGCCGCGCGTCGCAGCCAACGGCAGCCCGGGCCCCTGCGCCTCCGCCCGCCTTTCCCGCGGCCCCTGTGCCTTAAACTCCCTAAAACCTCCGCAGCCGTGCGTCCCGCTGCGCCCGGTGAGTATCTGCCAGTCGCCGGGGCTATTTGCGCAACTTTGGCCCGGGTCGGACGGGCCGCGGGCCTGGCGGAGTGCGGGGCCGCAACCCGGAGCGCTTGGCGAGGCGCGGGTGACTGGCGGCTGCCGGGCCGCCTGCCCCGTGCGGGCGCCGGAATCCCGCGTGCGCGGCCTCCCCGGGTCCGAGGCGAGGCCCGGCTCCCGACGACTTCCCAAATTACTTCTTTTCCCTTTCTCTGCTTTTATTTTATTTTTTGAGGGGGGGAGGGGAGCGGGAGGCGGGAGGCCGCGCTTGATTGACGGGCCCAGAGCCCGCTTAGTCAACTTCCAGCTGCGGCCGAGCGGGTGGGAGGGAGCGTCCCGGAGCCTGAGGCCGCAGAGTTGGGCTCGCTCCGAGGGAGGAGGCGGCCCGGTGGGGCCGAGGCTCGCTCGTCTCTTTCCCACCTCCTCTCGCCGGCACACATGCTTTTTTTGTTCCCTTCCAAAGTGGTAGGTTATGGTGGCTCGGAGATTTTTCTGTGGAAGAGGTTTCTCCGAGTCCTGGGAAGAAAGTGCTTTCCGCCAGCCTCCAGTGGTGGGCGCTTACTAGTTGAAGTTCTGCTAGTGGCGGTGAGCGAGTTGGGCGGCGGGCGGGAGTCGTTCCCGCTGAAGTGTGCAGGCGTGGTCCCGAGCTCCGCCGCTCTGGGTCTCTTTTTTCACCTGAGCCACACGTCCACGTGATTTGGGGGGTTGACAAGACATTTTCCAAGTTGGACGCGTCAGGGATAGGTTAATGAGTCCTTGCTTTCGGGGGATAGGGTATTTGTATGTGTGTGATAATGGTGGTAATGTGCTGCGACCGAGCGTCGATGTAGAAGGCACATGTAGATTCTCCACCGGTCAAAAATGTATACAGTCTGTATCGTGGCTGCAACAATTTTCCCTGTGACACTGGAACACTCAGCGGTCCGAGTTTTTTTTTTTTTTCAGACAAAATCTGGCCGTGTAACAGCTTCGACCTCAATTCTCCTGCCTCATGAGGCATGAGCCACCATGCCTGGTTTGGGTTTAGAGGCTTTCTAAGACCACTTAGAATTCATTTCTCGAGCTGAAGAGCGAGGCACCCTGAAGCAGATTTTGGGGAAAGGATTAAGTTCTCTTGACAACTTTAAAGCAGTCTTGGGCTTCTTTGACACGGATAATGTAGATCCTATGAAATTTTTGTCAGTTCAAGTGGCTATGATATGGAGAATGGGGAGAAGGTAGGTACTGGAGGGTAAAGCCTGAATGATGGCTGGTCATTGGCCCAGAATCTTAAAACTTCGTCTTTGAATCACTTGCTGATAGTAATACTGAGTGGCTTTGGGAGCTGCTTGGGGTTTCCGCCTCTTACAGAGATAAAGGAAAATACAGTATAGTAAAGAAGAAATGTTTTTCAAAGGTTAATAAATAGAAAGTGTGCAGTTAACATACTCGGTTTTTTTTTTTTTTTTTTTTTTTTTTTTTTTTTTTTTTTAAAAAGGGATTTTTTTTTTTTTTTTTTTTTTCGTCTTTTTGAAACAGGGTCTCCCTGTAGCCCCAGCTGGCCTTGAATTCAGTTCACTATATAGACCAGGCTGGCTTTGAACTCACAGAGATCCGCCTGCCTCTGCCTCCCAAGTGCTGGGACTACAGGCGTGCACCACCACGCCTGGCCTAACATACTCGTTTTTGTTTTGTTTTGTTTGTCATTTTGAGACAGGGTCTCCCTGTAGCCCCAGCTGTCCGGGAACTCACTATGTAGACCAGGCTGGCTTTGAACTCACAGAGATCCTCCTGCCTCTGCCCCCCAAGTGCTAGAACTACAGGCATGTGCCACCATGCCCGCTAACCTACTGGTTTTTTAACAGGATTTCTCCATTAAGACCAAGGTTTTGCAGTGTGCGGGCATGCTTGCAAATTCCATTACTTAAGGAGGGGAGGGCTGAAGCAAGAGGATCAGGAGTTCGAGGCTAACCTGAGTCCAGGCTGCATAGCGAGACCCTTTTTCAAAAAATTAAGTTTTCATGATACTGAACAACTCTGGTTGAGCAGTCTTCCTAGCAGGCTTTGCTGTTCTTGTCATTTCTAGCATGAGAGCTGGTGCATCACTGTAAGAGGAAAGAGAAACCATGTTTTAACCAGGACCTTAGCAGGGTGTGAGCGCAGTTTCTTGACCTTGTGGGCTGTTGGGTTTTTTTTTTGTTTGTTCTGTTCTTTGGTCTCAACTTTTATCCTCTTGCTTCAACCTGAGTATTGGGATTGCAGGCCTGTGTCACCACACCCAGCTTTTTGACCTTGTGTTTTGATTTCTTTGTAGCTGCTAAAATTTTGTACTTTCTGCTTCTTCATTTTCCTTTTTTGTCAGTCTCTGGGGAAGGTACCATCAGAGACCTTTTTCAAAGTGCCTGCATGTTTCTTGCTAATGTGCAGGAAAAAATGTCTGCTTTCAGGTCTGTTCTCTAACCAGGAAAGACACAAAGCTTTTGCTGTTAACCTTACAGGGGAAAGGGGAAGAAACCATTAGGGATAGAAATGCAGAAAAATAATCACAATTTTTATTTTTAAGCTCCAATCTGTTGTATTCAAAGATCAATCTGTGTGAAACATCTGAGTGTTCATTTCAGTCTATAGTATGTTTTTTTTTTTCAGATAGTTTCTTGTCCTAGTTATCTCTGAAAATAGTGAAAATGGTTTGCTTTCTTATGTGAACCAAGTTAAATTATTCATGTCAATTTTTTTCTCCAAGTAGAAATGCATTTTCAACTATAAAAATCCGTGCTCTTTGTAAAAATTCAACCTATACTGAAGTACATAAAATACAAAAATGAAAATCATTCTGACTCCCACTCCCCAGAGATACTGTGAACAATCAATTCCTTGTTTTAAACCAGAGAAAGCAACATTTGAGCATCACAGTGCTGCTGCATGTGCCCCACTCTGGCTTGTCATGGTTTGTGGGCTCATGGGCTCTTTACTGAACTTGGTGAGAACTGTCAGAGGGAAAGGGAGTGTTTTTGCATTGGACTGATTTAAAATTCTCTGATTAAACAACAGGCATGAAAGTTATATAAAATAGGGCTGCTGTTTTATGGTTTGTCCTCATGAAGTGTACCTTGGTGGGCTAGCTTTCACTCTTTGTCAGTGTTGATACGCCTATGTCTGCTGGATTGATTTATGTAGGCTTAACTCATTAAAACAAATCCCTCAAGTGTAGGGCATTTCCTAGTCTTACCACTGGGAATGACTGTGGATACTTGCCATGAAAACCATGTCAAGATCTCCCTGTGCCTATGGGATGAAGTGCATAACTCTTCATCAGTATCCAAAGGATGCAAGCAGAACATGATGGGAAAGTAGAGGGAAGATGTTTTAAGGTATGGCATGGGAAGGACTGACAGTAGGGAGGGGATACAGGACTCTGGGATCACATACATATATACATTAAAATATATATATAATAATAAATATATATATGTATGAATGTTTTGCCTGTAAGTGCACCTATGTTAATGCAGTGCCCACAGAGGCCAGAAGAGGGTGTCAGATCCCCTGGAACTGGAGTTATAGACACTTACCTGCCATGTGGGTGCTAGGAACCCATGTCCTCTGCAAAAGCAGTCAATGCTCTTAACCAGCTGAGCTACCTCTCCAGCCCACTGGCATCTTTTATATATGTGTATATGTACATACATATATATATATATTGGTCTTTTTGAGACAGGGTCTCCCTGTAGCCCCAGCTGACCTGGAACTCACTATGTAGACCAGGCTGGTCTTGAACTCACAGAAATCCACCTGCCTCTGCCTCCCTAGTGCTGGGATTAAAGGCGTGCGCCACAACGCCCGGCCTATTTTTTAAATATTTTTATTTTATGTGTATGAGTGCATTGCCTGCATAAGTGTGAGTGCACCTGTGTTGTGAAATGCCCACGGGGGTCAGAAGAGGGCATCGGATCCCCTGGAACTGGAGTTACAGATGTCTTTTAGCCACCATGTGGGTGCTGGGGATCGAACCTGGGTCCTCTGCAAGAGCAGCCAGTGCTTTTAACTGCTGAGCCATCTCTCCAGACCCTGATGTCTTACATATTTAAGATAGATTTCTAATCTTGATAGTTTGGCATGCATAGTCATTAGAGAATGACTTCTTCCTTACTCTGGTATATTAAAGAAGGATGAACTTTGAAGTTGATTTTCTAATAAAACCCCAAAATAATACATAGGATTTTGTTTTTGTTTTTTGAGACAGGGTCTCACTATGGAGCCCTAGGCTGGTCTCCATTTCTCCGGAGATCCACCTGTCTCCTGAATGGTGGTGTTAAAAAATGTCGTGGTCCACCACACCTGGCTGTATATAGAAGTTTAATCTCATTAGTTATTTGAGGGTCTTAAGGACATGGCTTTTTCACACTACTCTGAATTTAAATTGTTACCATATCGGAAGGCTAGAAGCATAATGGCATAGAGTGCTTGCCTAGAATGTGTTAGGTTCTAGGTTCAATCCCCAGCACTGGAAAGAAAAGTGTGCATATAATGTTTTTAAAAAGAATGAAATTACCAACTGTATTTTCTTTTACTTGCCTATGTAAGATGTATGTAGTCTTTTTAGGAGATAACTGAAGCGCTCCTTCCATACTTGGAATTGCCAGTTTTGGGAGTGGGCATGGGTGGTCAGCAGGTTGAAGGGGAGATAGGGGCCAGGTAGAGCAGTCTGCCTGCCTGTGAGAATGATGAGCACTTTTACAGATTTATGGAAAATGTGATGGTGGGAGGCTTAGAATGTTCCAAAGGGACACTTCAGTTAATAGTCATACCCAGAAAGTGCTGTCTGGTTCACTGAAATGTAGTATTTTGAATCAAAAGTCAAGAGTTTCAGCCCCAGTCTCTATTTACAAGATGAGTAGTTGCTACACCTGTTTTCTTCATTCACAAAATGAAGACGATTAAAAACCTACCTCAAGGTGGTTGTGAGAATCAGTTGAGAATGCTCTGTAAATTGTCAAC